GTGCTAGCAATGTTTCCAGATTGTCCAGGCAACCAGGACTATACCAACTGATGGAGGGCAGTGGGTTCTTTTTGTTCTTTCCTTTGATTTTTATATTTATTCTGGTCCTTCCAGCCCTAAGAGTGACTCTAACATGAATGTACTGTTGTGGAGGTATTGTAAATTTTACAGCTTAGCTGAAAGATTAAATGTTGGTAACTGGCTTGGCAGCTTTATTTGTTTTTGGTCTCACCCCTGCTCATATATAGCTGGTTTTGATGCTCAGGGGTTTGAAGCTGCTATTTGATTGAGCTGGAATTTCTATGTGGGGAGTTTTTTGTCTTGTTTAAGCAATTGTGGCTATGTGACTATGTGTTTATAGTAAGACTGGACAGTGATAAAAACCAGAGCTCTGAACCACTGTCTTTGGTTTTTCAAGCCACTCAGAAATTCTAGCTTCAGTATCAATATCAGCTAGGTTTAGAGCCATAACAGAGCGACAACATGTGGGTTTTAGCTTGGAAAGATATAAGACTTAGACTAAAATTAGTCAGTGGACAAATGAATCACTGTAATGAGTTCACAAGTTGTTTCCTTTGTTATTTCCTCCTTTCTGGCTTTGCTGGACCCTCTGTTTCATCTGCAGAGTGAGATTGTGCACCTTCCATTATGGAAATGACCCTCTCCGACAGAGAAAGTAACACCACAGCTCACTTTTCAGCCTCAGTCACTCCACATTAGAGTGCAGAGGCAACAGTACAGCACTGTACACTAATGTATGGATTCCCGCTGATGACTTCAGACACTGAGAAAGGGGTGCAGGGAGATTTCCCTCAAGCTGTTTTGACACAGAGCGTGACTCTGGCAGAATTCCTCACCTCTTTCTTTTGCAGGGGTGGCTAAATCTCTCGATTAATCTGTCAGAGTGAGCTGTTGAAAGTGAAGGACGCCGCCTATTTCTGTTTAGCATTTATCAGATCTGCCCTTTGGTGCCTAGCAGCTAATTAACCATTACTCACATCTCTGCCTTTTTTGTTTTTCTTCACTTTCACAAGGTTGAAGAAGTGTCAACCTTGCCACAGGTATGCACCGGCTGCACAGATGGAATGAACATATGTAAAATCTAATAAACTACGCTGATGGGGGGGGGGGGTCTGGTTTTTATTCCTAGAAAAAATATGTGCAGCATCAGTTAAGAGGTTCAATCACATGTCAAGCTGGAAGATGCCACACAGCTTGTCTTCTTGACATTTCAATAATCATTATCAAGCAATCAACAAACTAATTGGGATGTCTTGCTGTATTACACTGAATGTTATGTGTATGACTGCTCGCTTTGCAAGTTTAATAAAATATGGATTAAAAGGAACATTGTATAATTGTACAAGATAACCCCTCAGACAGCTTTTGGAGGTCGTTGGAAAGTCTATTAAAGGCCAACTGATCATAAAGACCAGTCAACAGTCAATGGATTCTTGAGTGAAGTGGAGGACACTTTGTGTCCAGCAGTTTTGCAACCAAAAATATTTGCATACTTTGTTTTGTTTTTGTTTGTTTTTTTTATTTTATGGAAAACAATATCAGACAAAATATTATCAAAGTAGAGTGGTTTTTTTATGTCAAAAAGTTCTGGAGGGCCTCTTTCAGTAACTTATTTGAAAGAATGGCAACATTTACTGGCTCCAGCTTTTTAAATGTAATTGTTTTTATGTTTTTATATCATTCTAAACCTTAAACTTTGTGCCCTGGGAAAACATGATGGGCATTTTCTGATACTTTCTAAACTTATAGTATAAATAACGAATATGTCAATAAGCACAATAACAAACAGATGAATCCATTATTAAAAGTAGCAGCCCTACTAAATCTTCAAATACATTTGCCCACCAATTTTGGTAAGTTATTTAGAAAACTAAAACATTCCACATAATAAAACTGATCATGGTCGAGTTAATTTGACCTTGTCTGGTTGTTCAGTTTTATGGGAAATACATGGATTTCCTGTGATTTGTCTTGTCTTGAGTGCGACTATACCATATCTTACCGAGTGCATACATGTCCATGTGGTGCGGAAAACATCGCAGGAGGGCCTCCCCCGACCTTGGCCTGCACATTTAACGTCAGTGTGACAAATGAATAACATCTGCAGTGTTAACAAGGGACAGGTTGTTCAAAGATGTGTGCATGGACAAGAGATCAAGCGACAGAGAAGCACTGCATGACCACCACCAGACAACCCCATAAGCCTTCCCACCTGCGAACTGTGTAACAGAGACGCTGCAGATCGGATGTTGCATGACCAAAATGTATTTCCGACCTGAGACAAGCATAATTTTGCATCACGTCTTTTTTTTTGTGGATTTACGATCACTTACTGTAAGACGTAGTTCCCTATAATCATGTCTCCTGTCAGATGTTACACCTGCATGGTGTTTCTCACCCGCTTACACTTTCTTTGGCTCTTCGCGCTCATTAAGTTAATTTACTGCTGAAGCCCTGTCGCGGGGATAGTAAAGGATACGCCTCATCTCTATTTTGCTCTCACCCACCACTTTCCATCCTTTTTTTTTTCCACCAATGATGAGCGTGCAACCGGGCCCAATGAAGAACCTGCATTGCTCTAGTGGGGCATCCTGACACTTTAATTGGAGAGGCATAAATCAGGCTCCATTGTCAGGGAGAAGGGTAATTATTTCCTCCTGTCTCAGCCACCAGCGATCCCTGCTTTGCACCCCCATTTTACACTCTCTGTCTGTCAGACGCTTTCATCACAGACCTGGCTCACACACTCCCTTTCCTCTCCTTTCTCTCCTGCAGGAAAGCTCATGAGCTGTGATTTATTTTTTATTTTTTTTAGCAATAAGGTCTAAGTCTACCTTAAAGCCAAAGTGCTAAAGTGTAAAATCCTTCACATCCTGGCTCATACCTGCAATGAAGTGACATGTGATGCTTGACAAAAGCATCCATTCATGAAAATGCTACCAGAGCATAATTTCCCTCTCTGGAGCTCAGTATGGAAATGGTTAAACCAAATGCATGTTGCTAGTGGCTAACACATGGTAACACATACTGTAGCATTCATTTATCCAGCCAAGTCTTCCTAGACTCCTGACTCCTTCTGGTTTGGGCTTGTGTTGAAGCTACAAATATGTACTGGGATAAGCGTTTGTGTTTATGCAGGTTTGGCATGGTTTAGACCTCGACATAGCATTTTAGCTCCCTGTGCTGAGCAAGCTTTCCCCATTGAGCCTATTTAAAGTGACTGTCCATAGCTTCTCTGAAAGTACAGTTTGTGTGCTCCTGGTTTAAAATCAAGCATGTTTCTCTCACCAAAAGCATATCCAGAGCTTTTCTATGGCTGACCACATCGGATGAAAAATGCCCTATGTTATTACTTTACTTCACTATCTATCCCGATGATGGAATCCATCACTTCTGTGGAGAGACTACCCAGAGGAGGACATTAATATACTAAACATTGTGAGGGAAGTCTAGGAAATAATGCATCAGCAATGGAAAAAGAAATAACTCAGCTGTTTTTAGAAAACGCTGGCTGGATGGTAATTTTGGTCTGCTGACTGGTCCACCACTTTGGTCCAAGTTGGGTGGATTGCCTTGAAATTTGGTGCAGACATCTTCGGTCCCCAGAGAATTAAGCCTACTGACTTTTGGTGATTCTCTGACTTAACCTCTAGTGCCACCATGAGGTTGAAGTCTGTGATTTTGAAGCAAATATTGGACCCTTTAATCCAGTTAATTCCCTCAAGATGAATTTGATAACTCTGGTGATTCTTTAACTTTGCAATACAACACCATCAGGTCAAATGTTCCTTTGTTTTATGACCAAAAATCAGGGAAATTAACTACGTTTCAAGTGTATGTTTAGTGCTAATTAGCAAATGCAGAGTAACATTGTTGGACTCATAATGGACAGTTTTTCAAAAAAGGATCAAATTGATGCAGCTGAACCAGAGATTTTTCTATTCCACACATTTTTCTTCTTTACCCACAGTGCAACATCAGAGCTTCGGGTGTGTAATGCTAGTTCTGGCTAAGGTAGCTTCGAGTTACTAGCACAGATGACAAATGGGCTGCAGAGGTCTGGCAAGCTCACTTCTCCACTCCACAACCCCAGATTTTTTTTATTTTTATTTTGGGACTAGTAGTACTCTTTTGCCCCAAATTATGCTGACTCGTGCCATCACATGGGGCAATTTATCAGATTTTGTGCAGCTCTCTCTGGAGCCACAAAAAGCATTGTAAAACTTATTTCAGTAGTACTACCCAAGACCTGTAAACATGGTAAACGTGGCACAGTGGAGCTTTGAGTAGGCTGTAGACTCTTAGTAGTTTTCAGTATGTTTGACATTGCCTGGTTGTTAAAATGGTTCCAGCACATACTTCTAAGCTGATTCATTATTTTGGAAAAACTGATGATACTTAATATGTGGATGAAAATAGAAATCAACGGAAAATGTGTGTTTTTATACATAATGGAATGGCCATTTTATTTTATTCTTTTACTTATTTATTCTATTATTTGCACATACACTATAAATGTATATGTAACAATAGAATTTAAAAGAAATAGAGCAATGTGCAGGAGAGGTTTGAAGCCAAAAATGGCTCATGAAGATAGTTTCCCTTAATAAATATAATCATACTTTAAAAAGTTTAACATAAAAAAGATTCAAATATATCATTTAAAATACAATATTAATAGAAACTTACAATTATATTGTAACATCATTTGATCATCTACAGATAAAAAGGCAGACCTGATTATGTCTGAACTCTCTGGTTTCACCCTCTGTCCACCTCTCATGTTTTGAGCTGTACATGTTAAAGTTTGCTGTCTAGTTAATAGAGGCAGGGAGGGAGGAATATCATGGAAGGGAGGGTGGGGGAAGAGGAGGAGGAGGAGGAGGGGAAGGAGGGGAAAGAGGGGAAGGAGGAGGGGGACTCCAGTGGAGAGTGTGTAATAGGACACCAGCCCTCTCTGTCTTTTCGCTCTCCTCCCTCTCTCCCCTCTCCTCTCTCCTGTGCTCTCTCAGTCAAGCCTGCTCTGTGAGCACTTAGATGGAATAGCAGCATTTTTCTTCTTTGGTGTCACTGGAGGAAACTGGAAACAAGGTGTCATAAGGGGGATACATAAGATCCAGATCTGGTTTGGTACCTGGCTTTGTTCAAGTGGAACCAGCCCTGGAGGAAGCTCCTAAAAGGTGAGTCCTGGATTAGGGGACTGATCTTGATCTTGTCTCTGTAGGTAGAAGGGTCTACCTGCTGTACTGCACCGTGCTGTACTGTAGCAGTTGAGGCAAAGAGGAGGTGGTAGGCAAGAGGCTAACAGGTGCAGAGCCCCGACAGTGAGAACTGGCGCGACTGGCTGGAAGTAAACTCAATCAGACTTATTAAATTTGAACAAATTTCCCTTGCTTCTCCTTTTTCAAATCTTGTGTAATATTACATCAGACTACTGTGACATGCTTTATTTCCCTCACATGCTTTGGCTTCACTGTCTATTTTAAATACAGTAGGAATTTCCAGAATATGAGTCATGACTTTATTGCAGTTCTGAAGCTGCTAAAAACAGAAAATTTGCGTTTTTAAAATGTTTATTTTGGTTAGTTTAGTATTTTTGTGTAACTTTAATGCACCTGAACAGGTTTCTCATGTTATTTAATAAATGGATGTAAAGTTTAAATACTTAAATTGCAAATATTCTGCTGTTCTTGGCTGCGTCTTTAAGTCATGTGTGAGGGAATGTGTGGTTGTAACAGAGCCGCTGACAACTGAATGACAGGGTGTGGTATGAACACACACAGTCCTGTTAGAGCTGGGACAGAGGGAGCAACTTGCAAGTTGTTTACCATTTCAATTTTAATTCTTGTTCTCCAGTTAATGAAAAAATTGAATTATTTATTTAGTATTTCTATCTATGAAACCTAAATCCAGATGGGAGGACTTTCTGCCTCAATTTCCTCGTAGTTTAAATTTTATTCATGTGTTTAAAGCATTAACAGGAGCAGATAGGAGCCAAACAATCATAGACCCAGTTTGCTAAATGGAAAAAAATACTTTTTTTTTTTTTTTTTACAGATTTGTTTGTACAGCTATGCAGTTTTCTGCTTTCATTAATATTAGTTTTTGAACAGTGCCTCTGAAATAGTGAGATGGAAAATTCATTAGGCTGTCAGCCAAGGAATGCACAATAAACACAATTATCATTACACCCCACTGGAAATATAACTCTCCACTCAATCAGGCTGACCTCCTTTGTGGAGACATTTAATTGCCGTCCCAGAGATTCCTGGCAGACTCAGCGCTGGAATTTCTGGACTTTGAAGAGCTCAACAAAATTAATTGAAGTATTTATTATTTTTGTTCATGGCAACAAACACTAATGCACCTTCTCATCGGGAGACCCATTAATCCAGATGACGTTACGGTGGCGCAAGGGAGGCTGGTTGTGAGCTCATTCATCTCAGTGTGGCGATCATCACAGAGATGTCAGTGTTTGTGAAGCAAAGGAAGTGTCTAAAGCCGACCTGATGGGAAGTCATAGAAGCTCTGAAGAAGACTAACTCCCTTGACAATGAGTTTAGCAGCTGTGAGAGCAACATTTCCAGCCCGGTGCCTCTCCCTGGGTGATCGCCCATCACTCTGAGACTACAGGGAGGGGTAGATGTGGATGCTTAACAGGGTCGATTCACTATAACAACAAAAAAATATTGTATGCTCACTTAGTGGTAATTCAACTCTGACACCAGACAAGAATGTCAGTATTAGACTTAGACTTAGACTTCTTTGGGATGACTCCCGCAAGGAAATTGAGATGATTCTGCAAAAGCCAAAATTCAATGACAACATTTTTATAACCAATGTTAATGCTTTTTATGTTATGTGTTTTTGTTAATGCTGTTAATTCTCGCCTTGTATAATTTCTGCATATGGCAACTACAGTGTGGTTTAGGTTAAGGAAAGATTGTGGTTATGGTAATAAACTATGGGTGTGACGTTAACTTTAGACAACAAAAACACTTTTTTGTTAAAGTGAGGGGAAACTATGGTTTCAAAATATCAAAATGTGTCTTTCCAGACTTGAGGTCGCCATTACTCTGGTTAATCCACAGACATCAGCTCTTTACATTGATACTACTTTGCACTAAAGAAGTTCTCCCTATTCTCAAAGCTGTAGACATAAAACTCAAATTCAAATTCAAAGAACTTGACTTGAAATTCTGAAGAGATATAATTTCAAGATCAAACCTGAGCAAGCAAAACCAAACCAAATTTGCATGGCCAGATACCACTACTCTACAGATAAGAGCAACGCTTTAAGAAGGCAGGACAGAGCAGGACAGGGTCAGAGCCATCCACCTGGAGGCTAAAGTGGTGGGAGACGCCCAGGCTGAAGCAGGCTCTGGGGGAGGGTGTGTGTGGATGATGCAGCAGGAGAGGGGCTGCAACACAGCGTCCGGGGGCCGTCTGGTTAAGCCTCATGCTGTTTTATTTCTCTCAAGTGCAGCCAAAGAGATCTCGTTCCTCTGTAGTTTGCCATCTGTTATGCACCTGAATTGTAGAATTCCACCTCAGATATATATCACGCTTCACTCCACCACACACACCCATATCTCAACCTATTTGTACACTACACCCGAATCTGAAATTTTCATAGCAATCATGCAGCTTTGCTATCTCTTGGCCATCAATTTTTCATTGCACATCTATAAGCCATGAGAGCAGAGATCCACCCTCTTGTAAAAACATTATTTTTCTTTTGGCATGTAAAAGGGACATTGTCTTTCATCTAGCGCAATGTTTTGTGCACACAGGTAGTGTAACAGCCAGTTTGGGTGGTTAAAAAAGCCTTCCTCCAGCAGTGGAGTTTAGCATTGCAGGAGTTAGTTCCCCCGCAGGCAGTACAGTACCTGCCACTATCAATAATTGAGCTGAGGGGAGCGTTTCTCCAGCAGCTCTTTTGTGCAGATTTAACTCATCCATATTTAAGAGAGGTACATCGCAAGGATATAGTAAGTGATGGGATTTAACTGACATGTTGTGCTTTCATTTTTATTCAGTGTAGTCTGTGCAACGGTTTGCTTTATAAGTCAGCATTTCTGAACCTGTCACATGCTTTAACTGTAAATATTGGTGATGTGTATTTTTGTTTTTCTTTTATGCTCTTGTAAAATGAATTATCCTCACTGCAACTGATGGCATTGTATTTAAATTGCATAAATATGACCAAACACGTTGTCATATGAATATTAACTTAATTTGAAACTACTGCATCCCAGTAAGCACTGATTTGATCATTTGCAGATCAGTAGACATGGAGGAGAAAGCTTGATTCTAATCTGTGACCCTTTGCAGCATGTCATCCCCCCTTTCTCTCCCCCCTTTCTTATGAATCTTCACCTAGCCTGCCAAATAAAGGCTTACAAAGCTCCTCCATAAATGGGCTGAAATGGATTGAAAAGTGAACATTTTTAAATGTCTAAATATGAGCATTTCTGCTGCATTTAAACTCCATGAATGAATGAAATGTTATGCTTTCACTCATTTCAAATAAAAGCTCTGATAAACTCACTAAACTAACTATATGATGTTTTCTGGTGTATAAGCAGTGATGTGTTTTAAATTTTCAAAAATTAGTTGGGGAATACATTGCAGGAGTTGCTAGTTAGCTTTAGCAGTGACAGCTAAGATGGCTAAGTAGACAAAAGCACAAATGTGATAAACTTGTATATTAAAGATTTCCAAAAAAAATGAGACAACACTTACCCAAAATCTCTTTCATACACCTCCAACAGGCAGTGCTGACTGGTCGGGGTTCCTGAGTGGTGCAGTCATGGGCAGGCCGGAGGGGTTGGCCAGGCCACCTCTGGTGTCAGCAATGGCGCTTTCCCTCCTGGCTCTCTCTCTCCTTTCCACCGGGGTCTCCAGCCTCCCACAGCCCCTGCCAAGAGTCTTCCTTCCCTTTGAGGGTAAGAAGAAATAACAAGCATGCACCCCTGAAATGAATGTAAACCATCAACTTGGCCTTTGTCTACTTGTTGTGTTTCCCTGCAGATGTAATGAGGTTGCATTGATGCCAGGTGTTTAGTGCGCTAATGCTAAACAAATGCTTGATAATCAAGTCAAACCTAGGGGCTACATAATTATAGACTTGTATACAGCTTTCCTAGACTTTGTAGATCTCATGCAACTATGCTCTTTTTTTTTTTTTATTAGATTAATTTTGTGTATATACACAGAAAAGTTTAAATCACACACACACACACACACACACACACACACAACACCACAACACACATTAATTCTTGTCCATCCATTATCCTGCTGTGTGTCAGCATAAAGTCAGCCCTCTGCAGGAGGTGGCAGTGCTTGTCAGAACCACCCTGAATCTGTTCCTTGTTAAACTTTAATCCACCCCTCTATACTGCAGGCTCGTGGGCCTTGTTCCTGCTTCTGGTTTTGATTCTCTTGTTCTATTTAATGTCTTTGACATAGATTATTTTATTAATTTTAGATGCTCCCTTGAAATGAGAGTGTAATGTAGTGGTAGGAGGGGTTTAGGTTGCGTGAGTCAGTGTAGATGAGCTGGCCAATCACACGTGCCCCCTGAGCTATGAGTGGCGCAGTAACCTTTTCACAGTGGCTGGATAGTGTGCAGGGGCTGAAGGAGACGTTTGATCACCTTTCACTACCTCTTGCTGTGGAACAGGCAGCACAGAGCAGCTGAGGCTGTCCGTCAGCAAGGTTTCTGCACTCATACAGTTAATAAAGGCTTACAATATGAGGTTAAAGCAGGTGTGGTTTTCTTTTCTTTCTCTCTCCGACTAAATTTGCCTTACTTGTGCCACATGTTTTCCCAATGTGGTCTCATTATTTCCTTACATCTTTTACTTTCATTCCGTCTTTGTCTTTCTTTCCCTTTCATGCTTTCATATTTCTCCGATTATTCTTTTATTCTAAATATCTGAACCAGCCTGCAGTCTGTTTCTGCTCTGTGTTGTTAACTGTGGCATTCAGCTTGACCAAAAAAGCCAAAACGTATGACTGACCGAATACTTGGGGGGGAAAAAACCTGAACCATCTCTATCATATCTTTAGTTTTGACTCACTCCTCCAGTGTTTCCAAATAGCCATGTTAAAAGGTCAGAGGTGGCCATGCTGAAAATGATCCAATCCCTATAATCCTGGAGCGCACGTTTCCCTTTCAGAGTGCAGATTAGATTTGGTTTGTTTTGGCCACTGTAGTTGTGTTTCACCACAGGGAGGACTGTAAAAGGAGTTTGACTTTGGTATCTTTGGGGCAATAATTCTTTAACAGACTCTGGACTTTATTCTTAATGAGTGTTTATCTGTATGGTGAGGTAAATGTGTGTGTTTTACTGTGCCGTAAATACCCTAGGATACATTTCGGTACATTTATGAGGATAGAGCAGCACGAAGCAGGAGGATGTTTGTTCAAAGCCAACTTCAGGTGTGAATTTACATTCCATCTTTGATTTAGCACCTGACCTTGCAATATGAGGGAGCTATGAGTAGATACACCTTTTTTGTTTTTTAGTTAGAAATCATCCTGAACTGAGGAGGACGAGGGTCATAACTCCTTCTTGGCAGCAGGGGAGAGTTCGGCATGGGCGAGCACCAGATGTAGGAAGACTCTTATGGTCCAAGGTGGAGGCTCTTTTCTCCCATAAACATTGGAAGTCATCACCGAGAGAAGAATTCAGGGCATTTGGGCTCCATCCAAAGTAGCCAGAAAGATGAATGAAGAGTCCTAGGGAAAACTGAAAGAGGGGTGTCCCAGAGGGGAAGAAGGCGCAGGTGGTTTGGCACCTGCTGGGTGGCCAAAAGGTTAGTCCTGTAGTCTGGTTTCTTCCGCTCCCAAAGACCTGTTAATTATTAAAAGCTGGATCAAACTAAACCAAGAAAATAAACCAGTGAGTAAGACATTGGGGTTGTACATGGATCTGGACGCTGGAATATCCTCCCCCCTTTTCCTCTCCGTGTCACCGTTGAAATCCAATCCAGGGGTAAGGCAGGTTCATGGGACTCCCGGCCTAGCTTCACGTCCTGCAGAGATTTGCTGTCTCTGACATTCCTCTCTCCCTCACTCTGCTTACTCTTGTGTTCTTCAGGCGAACACAGCCAGACCGCAATTAAAACCGCATAATAAACAGTGAAAAATGCAGCTAACCCAAATAATAAACTCTCAAGCGGTGCCTTTCTCTTCCGTGCCTCGGATAATAAACACATACCCCCCTTCCATACAGCTAAACTATTTTGGGATGCCCAGTGTGATAAAAGATAATTACCCCCGTGCATTTGATTTAAATATCTATTGTGCTCTCTGTGTTTATTTTGGCCTGTTTCATGGCATGTTTTATCAGAAAGGTTGCTACTAATCTGACAGAGGAATTCTGACTGCAACTTTCTGATCAATGTCCTTAGCAGAGATTCTGTCTCTGGGTTTTTAGAAACCTTTAAAATATTCTACTATTCATATCTGTTGAAAACAATCATTAAAAAATCTAGACTGATATCATTGGTGTAATGCATTTGGTCTCATCACCCCAAATTATAATTTCTAAGAAGTCTGACTTTAAATATTAAGCAGTCCTTCAAACTTCTTTATAATGTGCTTATTAGAGCTGTCAGTCTTTTAAAAAGTTTGAATCAATCTGGACTACAGTATCGGATGGCTTGAATTTGGATTAGTTCAAATGCAGCTCATAATCCTAAAATAAAATTTGGATTTGACTTTCAATCATGGTGCCTCTGCTGAGCAACAAGCTAAAGTTACCATTAAAAGTCCACAAACAGCATTCGCTTTGACCATGATTTTTCATCAATGGTGTCAAATCCAAAATCCTTAGGGTTAGGGGTACATATTACTTCTCTCATGGTCATGATTACCTGTTCAGCTAGTAATCTTAATTTTACGTTAATAGTGCTTGCATGAAGTTTGAATTAAAACAGATTAATACTGATCAACTACTAATCTTTTACTATAATCGAACAGTACTTGGAGTACTTCAATCCCTAATGCTTTATATGCTGATATTTTGAAACTGAAGTAGGGGCTTTATATTCACCCTAATTCTTGTTTTATACCATCTGAAATGTGTCTGTGGCAGTATCAAAAACGGTCGAGTACCGAAGCTGTTCTCAAATTAAATATGTGATCTTCACTTTGGTTAGATGTTTCCTAATTTAAATCAAAGTTTTGCAAAATTTGTTTTAATTTAGGCCAAGTTAGAAAAACATACTTGCATTTCTCAAGTATCAGTAATCAACATTTTCTGGCTAATTAACACTGATCATGAGTGTTGATATAATTAAAACATTGCTGCTGTTAACTTTAGACATTGTTGAGCAGCTTCCAGAGAATGATTATTGAATGAATATACATTTTTCAGAAAAAAATACTACATCAAGGATATTAATGTTCTGTTTAAGAAGTTAAAAGTTCTACTATTAATACTGCACAGTATTAACATTACCCCATTACCACTTGCAAGCATTACATACACTCACATTGCGTTCATGTGCTGTAAACTGGATTAAGAGTAATACTAATACTGAGAAACACAGTACATTTAATATGTTGCTTATTGGTTCAGCTACTGTATCAGAGTTTGGCCTCACTGTTGCCAAAATGCCATTCCAGGAATGGTGGGATCACTAATTCAGCCTCATTTATCTCTTCAGTTGGCAGTTGGGGCTCTGGTCTGTGTTTATGATCAGGATCATTTAACCTCATCAGTGTTCCTCACCCTGTTCTGGCAAAACTCCAGTATTCAATACAGTATTAACTTAGAAATATATACAGTATGTATGTCAAACCGTGAAAGATGTTTATTTGAAAGCGAGCGAGCCCGTGCTGGCTTTTTGCGTGGATAATGTAAATTTTGCACACACGCTTGGCTAAGAGCCTGGCTGAGACATACAGGAGATTGATTAAGATGGTGTCTATAGTTTAATGAGCACTCCCTCACACTGGTATATATGAGTCACATGGGCTTCATTCACAGCCTGAACAGAACCAGCCGTGGAGACCAGGAACCAGGCATCAGAGAGCGGATACACCAAATCCCTCCTCACTTTTATCATGCCTCATTGCTACTTCCACTCACCCCCCATTATTCATACAGCAATGATAGTGTACATACACTGTAGGTGGAGGTCGGTCTGTTGAGGATGTTTACTTGGTGGTGAGGGTTTGCAGAAGCGTCTGCTGAAGAAAGTGTATGTTTGTCCGTGGTAAATGCATGAATGTGCATTCCTTTGACTTGATTGCATTTCAGTGGCAAAACATTTTGCTGAATCATTGTTGTGGTTTTCTAGCTTTGTAAGTTATGGAACAAAATCTACAAGATATTTTGTTAAGTGAATACCTCAAATACCCCGAAGGTCAAGAAAACCAGGACTATTTTCAGATTTCTATCAATCTGAACAATCCTGTGTTTTCTGAATTCCTTCAGGCAGATCTTGCCTAGGTAGTCTCACCCAATAATACATTATTTAAATCCAATATAAGTGGAAGGACACTTTCATTCATAGGGTCTTATTATCTTATCTAAGTTTAACTGCTTCTGATCAAGATCAGATCAATGCTGACAAGTAGCCAGAAGCAGGCCAGGATGTCTATGTCTGTGCCCCAAAGGTTCATTCTTCTCTAGCATAGGACAGCTTCCTGTCTCTGTTTTACATTAGACCTGCACATTAGCATCGCCACTTTCCTGTGGTAGATATAATAAAGCCTGTGAAGTGAAATCAGTGATGCTCTGTGATTATGGGGAATTATTGGCTGGGCAAAGCATAGGCCTGTCAAAGCTGTCGGCAGCGGCACACAGAGACATGCTACAAATAGCTATAGGTTAACGGAGCATGCGTGTGTGTGTTCTCTGAACCTGAATGCTGGTGTCTGAATGTCATGAGGAGAACTGTTTCTTTGTGTGTATGCATTACCCCA